TGATTCTATGATTCTATGACTTTGCTGAACAGGGACTTACATGGGGAGCTTTGGCACTACAGAAAGATCTGCTGGAGCCCAAAGGGATTTTGCAAATCACATACATACTACTTTTCGCTCACATGGACCTCTCAGTACTCATGTCAACTGCAAGACCAGCACTCAGGATTCCAATAGCAGTTTTGGAGTGCATATATAAGAAAACATTGCTATAAAAATATTTCGCTTTGACTTTTCCAGTCTGCTAAATGATATAGTAGGAGAAAAGGGTATGGGAGCTTCCTGAGGACATTCTCTTGATACACTTCGTAAGACAGCAAATAAGTAAAACCGGAATGGCAGCAGATACTGACTACATAAACATACATGTATGTGTGTGTATATATATCATATGTTCCTATTACGTAGGAAAACCTTAGCACTGCCTTACCTGTGGTTAAATTTGTGACCAAAGGAAACCCAGTCTTTTTCAATTAACACCTAAAAGGAGAATATTGCATTCAGTGTTGTGAAGCAGAGCTGACACATGTTGAAGCATGCAGAAGAGTGGTATAAACAAGCAGTGCTGAAATCCCAGTTAATTCTTAGAATAAGCAGAAATGTGACAAGCAAGAATGATGTAAGTAAGCAGTATTAGAATCCCAAATAATTTTCAGAATTAGCAGAAAAATGAGTGATGAGCACTGCTGCCAGCTCGGGGAAAGTGGCACTCTTCATGGATGCAGATAGGATGACACTATTTCAGCACAACTTCAATTAGTTTGTTTAATCAGTTTCTAAAACAGAACTTATATATGTATATATGTCTCAAAGATCTTTATAACATGTGGCCAATAACTTGATAAGCATTCCTACATGCTTTACCATTGCTGATTTGCTTTGCAAAGGAGCAGATTTTCCAATGTCACTGCTTATTGCAATCTAATGTCTAGAAAGCACACACTTCTGACACTCAAAATCACAATGTTCACTGCAAATGAATACACATTCTTGCTTCCACAAAAGCTCCTTGGGCTGTGACAATGTTTCTTGGTCAAGTTTAGAAAAGAAATAAGTGGGTGTCCTACTGATCCCCACCTTTGTTAACATTTCATACAGAAATTGGGAAACTCTAACACGAACAAGATAGAAACCTTCCTTCCTACTTAAAAAAAAAAGAAGTATATTTAAGGGAAGTTTATTTACCATCAAAACCAAAGATATTCATCTTAAGTGATGCCATACTACTTCATTTACCCTATGAAAGAGAACCTGCTTACCATGAATCCCTTCATAGTTCTGTAATATGGATCCAATAGAAGGCTTGCTACAGAGCAAACCTGGGCTGTCCTATCCCAGCCATCAGAGCAGTGAACAAGCACACTCACACCTTCCTCAGACACAGCCTAAGGATACAGAAAAAGTCAGAAATTTCACAAGCAGGGAGGAAGACAATGGTAAGAGATGAACAGCAAGACAGCACAATAGAGAGAATCAATTTGAGAGCTGGGAAACCTGCTTCATTTTTCATTCTGCCGCAGAGTTCATGAATAATGTTGAGTGTTATTCCTCTCATTTGAAAAGTCTGTATTCATCCCATCCCATGCAATATGGTGGTTGAGCATCACCTGTTTATGCTCCATTGCAGGAGGATTGGGATTCATTTCAATTAAAATATATCAATCTGTCAGAGTGGACAGCTACCTACAGCAGATTCAGAAGGAGTTAATGCTCTAACTCACATACCAGCAACAGAACAGCCATACTTGCAATATGGATCTTAATTTCTCATCTTGATGGTAATGTCAATAAGGGCAGTGGCTGCTTCTGATGCCAGCGCTAGCCTGTATATTATTACAGCACATTGCATTGCACTGCTGACATACTTGTCAACATTTATGGGGAAGCCTGTGATAGTGGTAAACTTCTGTATCTAATAAGCAAGATTTTACCAATATCTGTAATGAAAATAACTGGGGAGAAAGGGGGATGCTATTTTATACATAAACACATAAAGACGAGATCCTAATAAATTCTCCAGAGTCTAGTGTTGCATTACTTTTAGAACTTGAGGGTTGGCTGAATTGAGGGGTTTTTTTTAATGCTAAGGGCTTTGGCCTTTGTAAAGAGAACTAAATTTAGGAAGTAGAAAATAAAATAGGTTAGGAAAGATACTGCTTCGAGAAACAAACATTTAAGCTAAGTTTGGGCTTAATAGGGAATGAGGAATATTAATAAACTATCTATGTTTACCTCAAGAGACAAGGAAATTCTACCAAAATAGAATCCCTGTGGGCAGGAGACCAAGAACCAAGAACTGGGAGCTGCACAAATATGAACGGGTCAAAATGCATGTCTGAGGAGGCACAAGGCCAGCAAGCAGATGGACCAAGGATAAATTCTTTGGACAGTATTTTAAGACTAGCCCCTGCGGAAAGGTTGGCAAAGTTCATGTAAATTACCTGATTTCTATAAGCTAATGAAAGCTAGTAGGTCTGGGAGTAATAATTACATGTGCTCTTATCTCACAGTTGCTGTTCAGGTAAGAAACTACAGTTGCCTACTGAGTAGGAAGAAGCAAAGCAAGAGAAACAAGCAGTTAGGAAGGAGGGAAACCCTTGAAGTTTTATATAGGTCATGTAAAAAAATTGTAATAGTTATCTCAAAAAATAAGAATTACAGCAGTAAAAGGCAGAGCACAAGGAAGGGGGCAGTAAAATTAAAGCTACTGTTGGTAAATGACAAATGTCTGCTTTTCTTAGGTAGGATTAGGAGAAATAATTTCTTATTGAAGCCAACAACTGTTTTCTGGAACAGTTCTCAAGGGTGTAAAGTAGAAGCTGCTAGAGGGTTTGGCCATGGTGATATACAGGAGTTGGTTTAGGAGGTGAATTTAGTTTGTTTCCTGATAACTCAGAGGGGATAACACGGTAGCTAATATTTCCGTATTACAGCTCCCAGAAAATTTCAACAAAGATGTCCAGAAATAAGTGGAGAAGGCAGGGGAAATAGAAAGAAATAAGAACAATCACTGCTGGGGACTGAAGTAAGGACATTCAAATGCCTGGCATAACAAGATACAGCCGAGTAGAGGCTTTAGTACAAAAGGACAAAAGCCTATTTACCACATTAGCAAACTGTGCACACACCAGCACCTAAGAATCATCCTTCCTCATATATGAAGCCAGGCAACAGAAGTTACCCACAAGCAGAGAATTTGGTCCTCACTTTCCGTATCTGATCACTCCAAGTTCTCTTCTCATTTTACATGCTTTACCTTTGCAATAAAAATGCCAGCATCCATAATGGCTTTGATGTGCTTCAGCCAGCCAGAATTTTCTAGGCCCCACAGAAAGTCGCTCATTGAAGGTGACTTCAGCTCACAAACTGCAAAATAAGCTACATTTTAAATGTACAGTAATTAGCATCCCTTAAGCTTTTAACTGAGTCTTCAAACTCAGAGTTATCTCTTCTTCAGATATTCTCTGTGCAAAACATGCATCTTTTAAAAAGAATGGCAACTTCTCAGTCAAACTTTACCATTGAAAAAGCACATGTATTTAAGAAATGGGCTGGGTCAAATTTCACCCAATATATTGATTTAAGTTAAAAACTGAAGCTGCAAACAGTTTACCAAATGCATCCTTCTGTCAAGCACGTTTTTCCAAAATGGTGCTGGGAGGGATTGTGTACTTAACAGTGAGGGCTTCAACACAGAAAGCACATACTTTCTGCTGTCTGACCATCTCTCAGCCACATAAATGGTGCCACTGCATCCCATTCCCAGCATCACCACAGATGATGGTGTTTAAGTTAAAATGATTCACTCAACAGTTCTCCATCCCTGAATGAAACCTTATTCAAACTTCACTTGGAGTCAGAAAGTTGGTGAGGACAATATTTCCCTGAAAAACCTTCCAAACTCTATGCCACATTTAAAAAAAATAAGTATCAATCTCCCAATTTTTATATTAAGTTTCTATTCTGTGGTATCTAAGTGTCTGTTTTTTTCAATATTAGAGAATCTGTGGCATCAGAAGAAACAAAGAGCAATCAGAATCTAAATCAGATACCTCAATCCAGCAGCAAACAAATGATGATATTTGGTGCAATCTGTTTTCAACAGTGAGATCCTAAATTCACCCCATAAATAGACTACACTTTTATTTTGATCCATATAAAGTTATACTGTCTTTTAAGGAAAAGATATTAGCAAGTGAAATGTGTCCTGGTTTTTACTGAGTTAATTATGATCTGTCACTTACTGATGTCTTAGTAAGTCTTTTGTCATCTGGAAATCTTTTAAAAGACTCAGTCGTTTGTGGCCATTATGACCACTGGCATAACTTTAGTTTCCTTCAGTGTAACTGGAATTTAATCTTATAAGCCGAAGTCAGAGTTTATACCATATCTGAGCTATCTAACTGTCCTAACTCCATTTAATTTAGAAGCAAAATGGCCTAATGTGTCCAGACAAAGTCTCACAATCTTTGTACGTGAGGCCTCTTCCAAATGGTTATTTTAAAAGTCATTTTTGAAAGATATTTATAAAGATGCAGAGATAGCAGCACCAAAAGCAAACAGCTTTTCACATGATTAATGCTGCTGTGCAGATGGAAGCATGACCAATTAGTAGCTGAATTCTGGCCGAAGCTGCTGTCTCTGTTTACAAAAGCCCAAGGTAAGGCTGAAACAGTGCTTTGCTCATTCCCACTATCAACTTAGAGTCAATATTTACTGACCACTTCACTGAGCAAAGTCCACACTGTCCTACAGGAATACACTGTATATTTCACATCATTTTGGCAACTGATCTGGACTTTAATATTGAGTTCAATTATTAATTGAATTATGAGGCCTATCCTAAGGGGAAAAGGCATTTCCATCTCAGCAGAAAAGGTACCAAAATCTTTGAGAAATAAGGTCTGCTGCATCCACAGTGTAGGCACAAGAAAAATCAAGAGCCCTTGGGCAGAGCTCAGAGAAATACAGCAGTACATCCATTTCCCAGCAGTGGAGGAAGAAACTGGACACACTGGAAACTGCCTCTTCCACCAGCAAAAGTACCAGCGCAGGATACTGGAGCAGTTTCCTCATTTCTGGCAGGACAGCCATAAGCAGAGGAAGGAATAAATGCTGTGGGCCAAACCCTCACGCTTTCTTACTGGCTGATGTGCCACTGAAGTCAAAGGATCAGAGGGCTGCTGCTACACCAGCAACTACTGCTCCTGCTGTGAGGGAAGGATAAGCTCATATTTGCAGTTTAAATACAGGCAGGGAGCATTGTGGGGTCATCATCTGAACGCACAACAAACGAGGGTCAATCCTTGCTTGGCCCCTGGGTGTATGACATGGCTCATCCCATCACAAGTGCCAAACAGCAGCCTCAGTCAGCCCTTCAATCTTTACTTTGAAAAGGTCTTGTGCAACATTTCCTTCTAATAGCAAAAAATTAGTTCAAGCAGGTTGTACACAGGATCTAAATTTTCTCAAGATTCTTCACATATACCTTTCTTTAAATGGAAAAAAAAGTAAAAATCCATACTCTACTAAAGCAATCTGAGGCAGCAGAGACAAAAGTAAAACTTTTCTGAAAGGAAAGTCCATCATGTTGAAATGGATTCTACTTCCAGTGTAGTCAAATCTCAATGTTTTTTTCATAGTCTGAAAAAATTCTTATCCCATCAGCATAGTTGCTTTATAATGCTGATATAATTTGCCAAAAATTAACATTATACAAGGTTAAATACGTATTAAAGTTAAGATAAAATTGCTAGAATTAAAGTCAGTGAAATCACAATGCTGAAACCAATGTTTTTTACCTGCTCAAATAAAATACTGACATTTTTATAAGTATAAATTAATTTCTTCAGCTTTTTCCCAGAGAAACAGCATGGAAATTAACACCTTCCCAATATAGGTGCATTTTCCAGTGGAAAACTGGGTAATAAATTTTTGTTCCTATTTTCTCAGAATTGGAAGTTATTTAAAATTGTTTATTGAAAATAATCTGCAGTTTGTCATGTGAAGATCCTCCACCCTTCACTTCTGCTTAGTAGCAGTAAGTTGAATGACACTGCCCTTGCACTCCAGCAACACATCTGACCAATTATGTCTTGATGTCCTCTTTTCCATGCTGTACACTTCTAAGGAACAATACAGCTAAATACAGTAAACTAAAATCAGTTTTCATCAGCCTCATTTGTCTTTTCAAAGGTTTTTACATACCTTATAAAAATCTTACAACAGATCATGAGCAGCAGACCCATTTTGTAATGTTTCGAGTGTAATGTTTTACCTTAGAGATTCATCTGGGTATGGTTAAGTATTCCTTGATAAAAATTCAAAGCCATATTTACTGTGTGTTATCATCATCCTTGACAGCCTTTTTGGTTCTAGGTCACTTTGTATGCTCAAGTCAGGTAATAAGTATTCTTTTAAAGGCCATCAGAGAAACAGATTGAGAGACACAGACAAATGGAAAAAGAGAAAAGCTACACAGCATTAAGAAGAGCCCTGGTACACTGAAAGTCACAAAATGTTTTTTAAAATGTACTTCTGTTTTCTAATCTTATCAGTCAAGTTGCTAAATATGAGATCTCACCATAGGAAACACAAAACCTAGGAAAAGGGTTTTGAGCATATGGCTCACTTGAAAATAGATGCTAAGAATTTGTGCTCCCCAAGCAGCCTGAAGTGTTAAATGCCTTAGAAATTACCTTGTTACATGTTAAGTTGGGGCCATGGGCCAGTCATGAACTTTTGCCTCAAAAATTATACATAGCACTGCCCCATGCAGCCAGGCTGGTTGTTTACTATTTTAACTTTGATGGTCTTATACTGAATAAATAAAGGGACCTGTTCATTGACCTTGCCTCTCTCCCAGCCAAACAGGACTTCCTAGTGAACTAAAAATCCTTCTCTTTTCCCACCTGAGACCCTGAGACCAAGGAATTAAGTAAAAATATGTTATAGAGTGACCACATTACCCGCATCACACTTTAATGCTGGTTTTCATTACATGCTCTAATTTGAAAATAGAGCACACCTCTCCTGTCATGGAAAATTTAAGCCCTTCTTAGCTCTCAAATTTACATTTGCATGCAGTCAATGGCAGACAGATAAATTAAAAAAAGAACATGGGCAGAGCATTAAGTCAGGAATAGCTAGATCAAGCTGATCCAGGAGGTGATGGAAGTTGATGATGTACATGAAGTAAATAGTCAGACACTGTGGAGTGAGCACTACTTACTATTTCTAAAAATCAACAAACCATTGAGGGTCAAGGATGGCCTATTTAGGCCTACTTTTTCCAGATGACCTCTAAACTGACATGTACTCCAAATATGAAATGGCAGAACAGATGTGCTGGTTTATATACTGCTAAGTATTTATAAAGCAGTTATTAATTTCCATGGGATTATTAAAGTGCTGAATGGTTAGACCCATTGACTGTGTATTTCATAAATAGACCTGATGTTCTATACAGCGTATGAATAAGTTTCCATTAAAATTCACAGTCTGAAATGCATGACTACCCTATACACATACAAAAAGCAAATAGTTTTTCTGAACTTAAAAAAAAAATCCTGTATTTTCCACTAGTCCCAAAGTCAGCTAAAACCAATTTTTTTAATTTTGCCACCACAGTGCAAATTTCAAAAGAAGTCATAGTAGCAGTAATGTGCATTGAAGCCAAATGAATTTTGTCATTTAAATAAATGATATCTGGATTTCACTGACGAAACAAGGTGTTTGCACAATTAGGAAATCAACATTAGTTGCCATGATGCTCCATTGCACAAGTCCCATTAGCCAGCAGGCAGATGTGTGCAGATGCAACAGGCAGAGACCTGTTTTCATACCCATTTTCAATGCTGCTGATTTCAGAGCAGTTATCCTAATTTGTGTGACAAAAGGATCAATTCTTTTCTCTAATTTCCAATGAAGAAGAGTATTACCTTCAAGCATTTTCTGCAGACTATTTCTCATGACATGGATATTCTCAATGCCTATGAATTGAAACTTGATGTTGGAGTAGTTGTCTTCATTTTCATATCCCTTCCCTGCTGCTCTGTTTGCCATTGCATTGAGCTGAAAAACATAGGTAAAATTGGATGAAAACCAGTAGTAAACATTCTTTCCAAAACAAAGCCTGTGGTCTGCTGCAAAACACCAGAGTAATTTAAGTCATGCACAAACAGGAAGCATTTATCACAGTGTCAACACAACGAGTTATGAATCAGGGATCTGTTTACAGCCTGTTGCAGGGCACTGGGTTGCTGATAACCCTATTTCACACCCTTTGAGTGAAACTTCATTAGTGAGGTTAAATATAAAAAACACAGCTTAGCCAGGGTTCCCCTGCAAGATAATAAATGTTTTAATTTGGTTTTAAAAGGCTATTCTGATTTTATTTATTATGTTTTATTAGATCAGCACGGTGCTCACGAGCAGAATGTACCCAGGAGGTGGCAGTGTCTCATCTGCCATGCCATAGCACGTGCACACTGTACCAGTGCCCAAGTTACTGTATTTTACTGTTCAAATCATCTAAAAGTTGATAGAGCTCACTTCTTCGAAGCTTTGCATAATGAAGACAGAGTTGGAGTATTTTTTCCTGATTGTACAGTCTCTTGGCTCTAGTTGTGTAAGACCACAAAACACTTGAATTGACAACATTACCACAAACACTTCCATCTTCATTGCAGTGCAAACAAGTGGCTGTGCTTCATTCAGCTGCTTGTTTTTTACTCCAGTGTGGGAACATCACTAAATGCTTCTTTAGTTCAGTTTCCCTAAGCATAAAATTAAGGGTTTTTTAATGCTTGTTTCCATGCTTTTTGAGATCCTTGGTTGGGAAGGAAAACTATCTGCCAAGCTCCTTGTGCCAAATTTTGATCTTTGGGCTGAAAACTAGAGCTGATAGAAATGAATTAAGTACTTTATTACCCTATTTACTTGTTTAAAAATATTCTTACAGCAAAATCTCACTGTGCAATAGAAAGAAATTGTCTTTTTTCATATAGTCCCTGCTCTTCTATGAAATGCATGCTGTAAGGCTGGAGAGCCTTTGAACTTTCCAAGAAATATGAAGGCTCCAAAAATGACAAAGCAGCCCTAGTGGTGAACCTCCAAGCAGAAGTAACAGCTTCTGCTCAGGAAAGATTTAAGAAATAAATAAAAAAGAATATTGCGTATCCAGACTGGAGGGCACTAACAAAGCTTTTGGAGAGACTTTATAAGGCATCAGTTGGCCAAAAAGTGACTCATCTTCATTGCAGTGAGAGCCAATGCTCATGAAAAAAATAAAGTATCTCTTAGGCATTGCCTAGGGGACAAGAGGCTATGCAGATCACTCCATTTTCAGTTTATTTCCCAATACCACAGCCAGCACTACAAACTTGCTGCTTCTGTGGTCACTTCTGAAACTCACAATAATATACTTCAGTACATGGCTAATGGCATCACGGGATATACAAGAATGTCTCCTTTTCTGACCTCTTCCACACCAAAAATACTATTTGATTTTAATTTGGAGCCGAAGCATTTGATTGAGCAGGATTGATTGTCTGTTGCCAATTTCCCTCCAACTAAGATGAACAAGCCTAGCCTTTCCATGTTATATGTCAAAATAGGCTTCCAAGGGCCAAACTTGACCTCTTAAC